CACTGGACAACTTTTGCACCAAAACATAAAAACTGCTTTAAAAAGCACAAAGATACAGAACCATCAGCTAAAGTAAAGACACTATACTGTAACCAAAGTTGGTACTTAATAATATAATGAACAGTTTGGTAGTTAGATCTCCAGTTTGGTTATTTTAAAGCATTAAGACAAGGCAAGATAGAAGGCTGCTTTTGTTTGAGTAATTCTAGAGAAAATAAAATATATTAAAAAACCAAACTGAAAAGTAGAACAGTCATACCTACACAACTTTCTGTCCTGCACAAAGTCAAAATACCTATGCAGAATATATATATATAATATATATATATATGTTATTTGTGCACAAAGGTTAGCTTATTATTAGCTCACTGCAAAGGCGTAATGTATCATGTCAATCATTTTGGAAAATGTTTTGCGTCTTGTGTCAAAAAGGATATTCTTAAAGTTTTCTAGGCTAGGAGGCACAAACCCCGATTCTGGCATACTGTATTCTTAATGCTAAGGCTTGCTGCTCTGGCTGTATATTTTTTGTTGTCCCTCTTTACTATAGTGCCTGTTACAAGCATGTGTGTATGTATGTATACATATATATGTATACACAGGTTGTATAAATATATATATATAAAATTTTCCCCAATAGGTATCAGTCCAACCATGCAATCCAAAAGGTGGCTCTGCATAGATGCCCAGCATATAGTTCACCACCTGAGCCAACCCTGAAGCAAGGCGCACTTTAGTCCTTCTGATAGGTTTTTTTTTTGTTTAAAACCAAGCTACTGCAGCTTCAAGTATTTTGCATTACATAGATTTTTTTATAAATTAGTTAATGTTATATTTTTCAATATTCAGACATATACTATAATATATATACAGTACAATAAATGCTCTCATTCTTTTTTAAATTTTTTTGATAAATCCCTGAGAATGTATGTTGACAGTTGCTAAGTTTCCACATGCACAAGCATTGTGTGCCATGCTTCTGGATGAACAGCACTGCAAAGCCACGTGGTCAGCCTTTTAACTATTAGTATTTCATTTGTTGGTTTGTTTAAATATGCTGAAATGTAAGGATGAGTTACAAAGGAGTAAAGCTGAATCCATTCGAGGTACTTATCACAGGATGGAGGTGTTTTGTTTGGTTTCTAAAGCCATTGCAATATATGTTTGTTTTTGAGGCTGTGAACGTATTCAGAAAGAAGAGGAGAGCGATGTGGGCTTTTGCCACTTGACAACATATACTCAGTGTAAACCAAACCTTTTTTAACCTCTCTCTCATACAAAACAGAAAAAAAAAAAATTCAACACACAAACTTTCACAACCTGACAGTTTAGTTTGCAAACTCAATATAACTATACACATATAATACCGGTGTGGCTCTGTTTCTTTAAGTTAAAAAGGATACAAAGGCAGGCTCAAGTAAAAACAAATCACCACTCCCACCCCCAACCCCCTCATTCACACATTTTCATCAACCAAACCGCTCACGAACAAGCATCATCAGTTTCTTTTTGCCTTTGTAGATTTGTTTTAGGTTGTCAATAAACTGTGTAAACTGGATGTGACCATCATGAGCCATTAAGAAGGTCTCTCGTGCCTTGCTGAGGAACTCTATAAACTCACTATAGTGTCGTGGGCTGATGTGAGTGAGACGTGAATGAGTTGTATTAATGTACGCTCCAATTGTGGCATCCAAGAGTTGCCGTAAAGGGGCTTTGTCCAGTGACATGAGCTTACCAGAGTTCCTCCTTCCGTGAAGTCCCACCATGCCAGGAGTGGTCAAAGTACACCGACGCAAAATGTCTGACAGTACTGTTGCACACTTGACACTTTTGACCACCAGAGGTATTATAGCTGCTAGTTCATTTTTCCCAAGGGAGTGGCTGAGTGCACATGCCCACAGAACGTCATTAATGGCAGGGTGTGTGTCCTGATTGTAACTCAGGTTGAGATGTGTCATGGCCAAAGTGGCCAGCTTGTAGGCCCTCATGGGGTAACCACGGTGCTCCATGTACCGTGCTATAGTAAAAAGCTGCGAGTAGCTCATGCCAGTTGTAGCAGCATCTAGAACAATTTGGTAAGCGGTCTCAAAGGCTATGTGATCCTTTTCACACAGGGTCAGTGCAGAGAGGGCACAGTTTTGAGGATCCTTCATGGCACACTGTAGAGCAAGCGTCCTAGCACTGCTGGCCAGCTTCTCCTGCTGATGGCAGTCCAGATGCAGACGGACAATGGTGCTGTTGGACATCACTGTTGTAGCAACAATACTAGTGGCTTCTGTTGGAGTGAAAAGTGTAAACCAGTTTTGCATGATACTATCCAGTGCATAAACACCTGGGAAGAGAAGAAAGGATCAGCCACAACTGATAAGATCTAGCAGATACAGATGTACAGCAAGAGATTACAATTGTCGCAAAGTCTAAGAGGTTACCAGTATGTCCCAGCAAGAAAGACTCAACCACACAGCGTGGCTGGAAAAGAACGTTAAAACAAAGACTGCTGTGCAAACTCTGCAATCATTGCAAACTGTAACAATCACCAAAACTCAGAGAATAATGAAAACAGCCTGCAAGACAAGGTTTAATCTCCTGTGTGACAGCTGAGCTGTTTTGCTTGTTATTTAAGACAATTTTGATAAAACGTTTCATTTGGTCTCATCACATCATTCCAAAGCAGCCCTCACACCGCACACAAGAGCAACTGCAACTTCTTTTCTCACTGTACATCTCAAGGCATAGCATGTCCACAAAAGAATGTGAAAAGTATGCAAAATGGCCTAGTACAACACCATGGCATACCTTAGCAGAACTTACTAAACACATCTTAAATCAATTAAATTCATAAGCACTTGAACATCAAGATCCTTATTAGGGAAATACTCTGAGTGATATGAACTACTGGATATTAACTGAAATAAGTGTTTTCCTTCGTATCACTCTATTTCCCATCGTGTGTGTTTAGCAGGGGGAGGAAACAGCGACTGATGAGTTCCCTAAATGGAACCTTATAGCCAACTAGAGTGCCTTATTATTGCTAGAGGCAGTTTAGACACATCTGTGACTCACCTAAACCACACAAAGAGGTCTTAATTTTCTCTCTAAGACTCTGGTGCTTCCTGTGCACCCCTCCACTCATCTGCAACAATTCAGCATAGCCAGATAAGACCTCTGAAATGAGGTATATCTCATTTAAATAGATTCCTAGCTATATCAGCTTGATTAAGCCTCAAGAGTACTTTGCATGATGTTGTAGGTTCTTTATGGGACACTCCTATTAGGATATGTAAACTAATTTAAAGTAATATTAAACCCAGTATTTTATTTGCTGATATGCAACTGCACAAAACAATATTCAGACACTAATACCTGTAAGATAGCCTCAGCAAAAATCATCTTAACAAAGATATAAAAGCAATAAATATGAGAGCATTGCATGAAAATTTGCAGACACAAACCACTTTCTGGCTAAAAGGCGAGCTCTATTCCCCCATGCTACTGACAACAATAATTTCCCAGTTACACATAAAGCAAAGGATAAACTAATCCAGAGAATAAGCAGCAGCAATTCTCTAAAGTTCTGAAACTCAAGAATCATCTGTGCGATACAATCCAACTCAGACATATGAAGAAGGAATAAATATGATAGAAATGCATGCTCTCCAGAAATACCTTTACTGACAATTAAACTTGCTCTCTTGCTCCCTTATCATAAGTACTTATATTGTTCTCATTACCACAGCTGCTAATTTTTGAAAATTTTTTTAACAGCTACACAGCTTTTAATGCACTCATCTTTATTTTCAGATTCTGTATACTCATCTTGCAGATGTTAAACCACAATACAGAAGCTAAGGGATGCCTCATGAAGACACACAGGATATCTATGGCAAAGCCCAGAAATGATCAGAACATGCTGCTGAGAACACTGTTCTCCCACTGCTGTACTGGGTATTTTGGGTATTGAGTATTTGTATATGGTACTTGCTATAGGTTATGCACACTCCACCTTATGGGACAAAGAAGTCACACTGCACTACTCAACTACTGCCTCACTTGCTCTGTGCCTAAAAATACCCACTAATCCTTGCCATAATGTGTTTTCACCAGCGGAATTTTACAGATGAACAGAAAGTGAGAGGCATTTGTAGAACCTGGGTGTTGACAAGAAAGATCAAGCCCTCTAGGAGTAGCTGACAAGAGAAACATTTCAGAACATACCTACTTCGGTTGCACATGTTACCAACCACCTCACCATTTCCCGCCGTCGCCAATTCAGCGTTGACAGCGTCATCCGCATCACCTGTTAAAACAACACAAACAAAATACAAATTAATCCTGTTGCAAACCAAGGCCCGTTAGGTCCTTAAATGAGGGATTTTAAGTTACTCAAACACACTGGAGTTCAAAATGGCAGCCTCCTGTCGTCCCCTCTCTGTTCCTTGTTTTCACCTAACAGGTCAAACAATTTGAAAAAAATTAGAATAGCATGCAGAAAGTAATTCCAACTGCAGATCCTTCAAGGATAGAGGAATACTTATAGCTGAAGTAATGCACTTACATAACCAAGGGACTGACAACCTCTGGTTGTGTCTAGGCTGGCCACACCTGCCTAGACAGATGTAATCAGTGGATTTGTACAAAAGCAGATAGCTCTTTTTTGGAAGGTAGCAAGCTTCACATCAAGGACAATGCTGCCTTTTGGTGGGGACGCCTGCCAATCTGTGAACTTACTGACTCTCCAAGGATGCAGCTTCTGCTATGGGTAATTATAGGCATGCTAAGTCAGTAAGATAACTTTATGGGCAACAGCTGGGTGACTGGGGAGGTCGTGCTGGGGGCTTGTTTCTCTCCTCCTTCCTCTCTTTTGGGTTTGTTTGTTTTGTGGGCCACCTCTTGGTAATAAATATCAGTTTTGTTGAGCTTTCAATGGTGTCATGGTTTCAGGCTTCAGTATGATCCAAACCCTCCCTAATACATTTTTGGCGATGAGGATATCACACTGAACACAAAACACATCGTTGCCAAGGACAAAGTAGGATTCGCAGGTGGGATGCATAGCCTGTGAACTGCTGTTTTTTGTAGAAAAATCGGGCTAGGAGGGTAGACTACAGAATATAGCTGACTCCCTGTGCTTCTGTTGATCTTCATCTTCTGTCTATGGTGTTGTGATACACTTGGTTTTGGCTGGGATAGAATTAAGCTACTTCCTGATAGCTGTTAAAGTGCTGTGTTTTAGATTCAGTGTGAGAATGCCACTGACAGTCCTGTAGTATTTCATGCTCTGTAGAGAGATGGTGCACAAGAAAGCTTGGAGGGAGCACTGCCAGGAGGGCTGATATGAATATGCCAAAGGGATATCTCATGCCATGGAAGCTTACATCCAGCACATAAACTGGGAAGAGTCCGACAAGACTCTTTCCGAGTCAAGTGTTATTGCTTGTGAGCGTGTCAGGGAGCTATGGGCAGAGGACATGGTGTTAAAAACGCCAGGACAGGGGTTGTGGTGTTACCCCTTTCATCGAAGTGTCCTAGGCGGACACAGGAGTTTTGATATTCACTCAGGGATCGTTTAGGAGTCAAGTCCGGTGCCGGGCTGCCACCCCTGGGGCTGCTGGGGGAAGAGGTTTCTCTGTGGAGCTGCATCGGGCTCTGTGTTATTGGACCTGGGGGGGGATGGCATTTCCCCCCCCCGGGGCCACGCCGGGATGTGTTCTAAACCCGAGTTTACCAGGAGTTCGCGCAGGGCGGCGGGGGGTGGGGGGGTGGCAGGAGCCCAGCAGCAAATTGTAGCAGGCAGAGAAAAATAAAAAAGGAGAGAGATAAAAAGCAGCTTCTGGCCGTTTTTTTTTCCCCTGGCCGTTTTTCTCCCCCTCCTCCCTCCAGAGGCAGAGGAGCTGGTCAGCAGCAACTGTAGTGAGTCAAGAATAAAAACAGACGGCTCTGACCACTCTCTCCCTCTCCACCCCCCGGGGGGAAGGAGGGCGAGCTGTAACAGCAGCAGAGGTCTGCAGTGATAAGAAAGACAGAGAAAAAAAAAAAGGGAAAAGCAGATACCTAAGCAGTGTTTGAAACTCTGTTGTAGTAAGTTCGTGGTTATGTTTGTCAAGGTGGCATGGCTGATGGTATCTGATCCCTGGAATCCAGCAGCACCCAGGAGCTGGTTTCCCCTCTGAAGGTGCAGAGCAGCAGGGCCTCCTCCAGACCCAACTGTGTCTTCCAGAAAGGCTAGATTTTTAGGAGCAAGCTCTGTACAAGACTAGTCAATTAGAGACTTCAATGAATTCACTTTTAATTAGCTTAAGCACTGCTTTGGATGCAGTCAAGGAGCTTTGTTTTTTCATGATAGTTGTGAAAAATCAGTTGCTTTGACTCTTCTGTATGTTGTGAATTAACCTGCATGGGGCCAGTGACACTTTGTCCCCTGAGGGTTTCAGGTGATATGGAGTTTTATGGCCCTGGTGGAGGCAGTGAAACAGCAGCCGCCAGCCTCAAGGTTATTGTGAGTTTAAGTTCTTGGAAGTTTGGCATGAAATTAATAAGCCACAGCAATTTCAGTTCACGTGGTGGTCATTCAAGTCACGTGGTGGGCACGTGTGGGCTGGGGTCACAAACAGAAAATGAAACATGTCTGAAGATTTATGATTCTTAAGAATCCTCACAAAGTATAATTGTTAAAACCAAGGAAAAGAAAATAAAACAAGAGAAGAAAAGGAACAAGAACAGAACAAAACCTTAACTTGATAAAACTATACTTTTGTAATGAGGAGAGGCAATACAACACCCCAAATAGATGGGAGTAGTATGAGAAGGGGGAGTTTGCTTGTGTTTTGTCTCCCACAGGACCCTGCTGGCTTCCCGCATGTTTGATGAAACCTTACCATGATCGGAACCAAGCCAGTTCTGCAGATGCAGAGGCTGGGTATCAAGAATTCTGGATGGAAATCAGTGAATGCTGAGCAGCACAAGACCAGCCTAAATGTCACATGGAAGGAAACATATTCCTAAACATGATTCATTGTGTCTACTAACTTTTACTAACTGGTGTAATGACTCAGTTATCATGTACCTGTCTCTCGTGTGTTTTCTTGTCCACACCTGACATTGTGATTCGTGTAATGAACAATGCCTTTCAAGTAATCCTTATTTGTCATTTGTAGTTCTCAGTGAGCCTGGCCAGGGGCTGGGAGGATGCAGCTACCACAGCCATGACTACCCCTGCATTAGCCTATTCAGTGCAGGCCATGTATCTTGAATAAGAAAATTGATTGGTTATTCTTTTTTGCATTAGCAGGTCTTGTGTCCCAACGGATTCCTGGAACTACTGTTCCAGAGATAAGAAGGTCTATGTTTCTTAGATGAGTTGCACCAACAATCTGTATGTTTTGTTTTGTATTACTAGTAAGCAACAATCAGAATTGAAATATTATTCCTGAACTGTGTGCTGCCAAGTTGTTCTGGCAGCAATATTAAAAGTAATGGCTAGAGCTAAGCCCTGACTTCAAGACGTGAAAGAAATATGTGATGCTGTGTACAGAATAACTCCAATTGTGCTTAGTTTTGTCTCTTGGGATGGGGTAGACGTGTCACTAAGGGGGGAAAGAAAACAGTGGAAAACTATAGAACTTGTAAAATCTTGAGGCCTAATAATGGTCATCGCTGTAAAGAGTGATCCGTTTCTGTGCTGCTCATGTCACACCAGTGATGTCTGTGAAGATCAGGTAGAATGGTGTGGTTTAGGGATTCTAAATCAGATGAATTTTGAAGATGTCTCACTGGCTTTAGAGATATCTTCAGGGAACTTACAGTTTTGTTACCCTGATTGTTTTGCAGTGCTCATATTTGTATGTGTTTTGTCCCAGTTGTGTTACAGCAGGTGGCAAGAATGATTTGGAATCAGCATATGACAGAAACCTTTTGGCTTACAAGTCTACACACAATTATATGTGATTGTGAAATAACAATGTGTGAGGTGCTGGGCCTCGCAGAAGAAAAGTTGGATGTTGAAAAGCTGGTTGGCAAGACTGCAAATGAAGGACTGATGTTTGTGGACCTCCCTATGGGCTCTGGCTCACATCATGCCTGCAATTTTCTTGTGATGAACTGGTAACATTCTAGTTAAGTGCAGAAATGGTTTTGATGGATTAAAAAAAAAAAAAAAGGGAAAATTCTTTTATAGCACGGAGGCAAGAGATAACCTCCATGAGGTGGAGGGGGATTGACTGCAGTCAGGGGTAAACTGGGGCAGGACGGTTTGCCCCGATGAGGCCTGGAATCTGTACAGAGAGTGCAAGCTTTTTGTGGGAGCGGTTGGTGAGACCAGGATGTTGTCTGGTGTTGCATCAAACTCCAGATATACATTGCCTGTGATGGCTCCTGATAGGCCCGTGAGAAATTATGGCTGGCAGTCGACCACTTCATACTATAAAAGATGGATCAAAATTATAAAACTTCTGAAATGTGAAGTGCTGTTCTACTAGACTTTCTATTTTGCAGAAATTCCTGAGATTCATCGTGTTGTCTGGGCCCATATGATTGGACACACCTGTTCATCCGTCCAAACTTGGGAACTAGGTCTGCCAACCAGGAAAAGATTATCTCAGGTACTGTTGACTTCAAATAAATGACCACTGTAACCCGCTGGGATCTCCTCACTGAGGATGGACATGATTATATTATTGTCTGTACTTTTGTTGTTACTCAATTGTGATGTTGTTTACATTTTTGGAGATGACACTTCATCAATATGCTTTTCAAGTCATTCACCAGTGTCATGGTCCAACCACAGACCACACGATGGAATGTATCAGGAGTTAATTATGCTGATACTTTTGGTCTATGTTTGGCCCAGCCACCTGTAAAAGTTTTGTTCTTTCCCTGACAAGTTATGAGAAAACAAGCACTGATAAAATGGGAACTTCATCCTTGAAAAGAGTTCTTGTATAAACTACATTTAATTGCTGTTTCATGATCGGCTAATCATCCTCCAAGGTCGCTTGAAGGAGAAATTGAAGACTATAATGATGAAGTAACACCCCAGACTCAATTAGGGAAGACCCCAGGAGCATACTGCACATGTGGCCAAAGTACTCACGCATGCGCTGAAGTAATGCACTTATATAACCATGGGGGTGGGACTGACAACCTCTGTCGGGGCAGTGCTGGCCACACCTGCCTAGACAGATGTAATCAGTGGATTTGTACAAAAGCAGATAGCTCTTTTTTGGAAGGTAGC